GAGAGAGAGAGAGAGAGAGAGGGAAGGGGGAGAAAAAGAGCGAGTCTAAAAAGGACGGCCTGCTGGCCGGCCGTGGAAAAGAATAAAAAGGGTACAAGGCCCCGCGGGCTGGTGGGGGCTGCTTGTTGCGCAACTGCTTCTCCAATCCACACACATTCGGGCGCTTTGACACCCATCCGCCACTTTCATCCGGCGACAAGCGCCAGCCCAAAGTGATCCCGGGCGGCGGATGCCAGCAGGGGGGGGGGGGGGGGGGAGGGGGCGGGAGGCAATAAAAAAACACGAAATATGGTGGGATGATGTGGATTTCTTTGCCCTACTCGCCATTCTCCGGATCACGCGGACAGATCACCAGGGCGTTAGCCCTTGTGCTCGCGGACGGGCCGGCGTCGCCGGGCCCAAATGTCGGTGATCCATGCGCCTCTACCCGCGTGCCCCGAGGGCAAAGGCCCCCCCCCCCCCCCCCTGCATGGGGGCACCCTTTGGAGTCGACACATGTACCACCGCCCCCTTTTCCGAGGGGCGGGCAGGGCGGGTGTAACGGCCACGCGCAGCCGGCTCCCCGGTCTCTGCCAGTATTTGGGCGTTCGAATGTTCCAGCCAGGCTAGGTTCCCGACTTTCATCCCCCCCCCCCGCCCCCCGCCCCCCGCCCCCCGCCCTGCCTCGCGCCGTTCCCGGGTCCTGGATCTTGCCGGGACTCTACCCATCCAGATTCGGCGGGGTGCCAATGCGTTGGTATTACACCGCGCGCGCCCTGACAGATCCCCTTGTCGCCCCTGATATGGGGGGCGGGGGAGGCGGCCGCGGCCGTGAGCCACCGGGCGGCCTTCTGCGATTCCAGATAGGCCCCGCAGCGCCTCCGCAGGGCCTGCCCGCCCGCGCTCGGCTGGCTTGCGTCTGGGCTCTCAGCTCGAGGGGCGGGGTGAGGGGAGCCGGGGGGCGGGGGGAGAGCCTTTCCGGCCGCCTCCAGGCGGGCGGGGCCCTCCCTTGGGGGCATTGGGCCGCGCCCAGGACAAGCGAAAACCGGCGGGGGGGGGGGGGGGGGGAATGGTGTGGACCCACCAAAGGGAGACTGGATTAGTCTAGGGTCCATGATGTCGGCTTTTGCCGGCATGTGTGCTTGAACACCCGGGGGGGGGGACTACATGCTTGGACGCGGGCCCGGAGCGCTCCTTCGCTTCTGTGCTTCGACGGATCGGCGAGGCAGCGGGTCTGCTTGCGGACGCCCCCCGGCTTCTCGAGCGAAAGAGCCCATGTGTGTGTGTGTGTGTGTGTGTGACACGGGCGTCGCCCGTCCCCACCGGCCTCGGCAATCACGGCCAAATGTGCCTAGGATGATATGGGACCGGGGGCAGGCAGGGGGGGTGGCTCGGCCGCTGGCCTTCCTTATTTTTGGGGGGATCCTGCATGTGTTCCCGCCAGCGCGCCCCTCACGCCAGTTCTCCGCCCCTGCTGCGACATCGTGCCTTCCTGCGGGGAGGTCCCCGAACGTGTGAGCATCGGCCGACTTGCCGGCGTAGCCACTAGAGGACGGGCCGACCTGCTCGCTGGCGCGGCCTCTTAATCATCCACGCCGCAGTTCGCATGCTGCCCCCGGTGTGGGCACCCTGGGTCCTATCCTCTGGCGCGCCCGCACCTGCACCCCCCCCCCCCCCCCCCCGGGGTCAGTTGGCGCTCCCAGACCGTCCCTGGCGGGCGCGAGAAGGCTCATTCGTGTCCTGCTCGGCCCCCGCCCCCGGGCTCCCCTTTCCCTTTCGCCCTTGTTCTGCCTCACTTTCTCTCGCTCCAACTCGTTGGGTGTCTACAATGCCCCTGTTCACTCCCTTTGTCAGCTCTCTGCGGGAGAGTAGCCCAAGGGATGTATCTGACGGCATGCCGTGTGTGGCACTTGGGGGGGGGGGGGGCGGGGCAAAGAGTGGGAACGGGGCCCGCCTTCCATAATCAGATGTGTGTGCCCCACCCGTCCTTGACGCTTATGCTTGGCCGCTCATGCGCGGAAGGCTCCCTCCGCCCCTTGGTTGCGGCCCCCGGCGGTCCTGGGAAGAGCTGGCTGAGGGGGCG